CGAGACAGGTCATGTCCCCCCAAGTTCCGACTATCATTCCGAGTTTCCCAAGTTAACGTCTTTGAACCTCACCCTTGCTGAAACGCGTTTCAAATTCAGCTGCCTTCTTCGTCATTTTGGTCAGGTTGCCTTTCTCGCGAGTTTGGGACGGTATGAAGATGTCAGGCCTGCTGATAGCATGCAAAACCAGTTGTGATTAGCATGGTCAGATGTAGGAGTTTGCGTGTTTTTAGTTGTTTGGCCAAGGCTTCGACATAGAATTTGTTTGCTTTGCTGCTATTTGTAAGGCTAGGACTCCTCAAAACAAAATTCCAGACTTGTGGCAGGTTGCCCGTGGTTGTGTTGAGTGCTTACAGTTGGGTTCCGCTGTTAGACCGGGCATTCAGCGGTACATGATTGCTCGTTCATGCCCTATTCAAGTGCATCATGTTCAAAGCGGGTCTATTGATGTTCGCTTGCGGCCAAGATTAGTATCTCATCAACCCACGTGACGTGTGTCAACAGATATCGTCTGTCTTTGCAGGGGCATTGCTTGTTGGAAAGTGGTTCGGCAATGCATCTACAAAGGTATGATGCAAGGGTTTGGCAGTCATGAAGGATGCGTGGCCCGGCAAGGCTTGGCGTGGTCCAGTAGGTCGAGCAGGGCAGTGCACAAATTGGTGTTGACAATTTTGCAGCCAATATCATTGCTTCAAATGTTTTTGTTGGGGTCGAAGGAACGTATGCAGACTCATAATGTGTCATTCGACTTGCGAACCCTCGAGACCCCCCGAAGTGCACCAAAAGTGACTTTTTCGACCCCCGACTTGGAGGCTCATTGGCGGTTACATTGTTCTTGGAAACGTCATCCCTTGCTGTACTTTGTCAATCGCACTCGGAAGCAGAGCATGCATGCAATTCGCCATGCAATTCGCGTTCCAATTGCCTGAAACTCTCAACTCAACCTCAGTGCAGGGCTGGCCGTGTTTTCCGTCAAGCGGTTGGACGTGCGGGGCTTAGACCTATCCTTGAGCTTCGGGTGTTGATGTTTTAGCTGGCTTGTACAAGAGCCTAGAACAACCACAAATTCTTGCAAGCGTGGTAGAAATCCTCCTCCCTTCCCGGGTTTCTGGTTTCATGTTTTGTCAGGATCAAAAGAGCGGATTTTGGGGAGACTTTCCTTACTCAAGCCCCGAAGTTAGTCGACGAGTGTCACAGTTCTGCAGTTCGGCCTGCCAAGGCCCGGGGGCAGGCGCCCCGCCCGGAGGATTTTCCGAGGCCTTCAGGAGGTGCCCCCAGGGTTTTTTGGTCTAGGGTTGTCTTCATGTTTTGGGAATGCTGGGCTACCCAGACCTGAAGCCCAGAAAAGGAGAGGACTTTCGAGCTTGTGATTATGTGGTTGCACGGTTTGGAAGAACAACTTCAGATTTCGTTGGAGACTATGCGAGTTGTATTTTCTGAGAGTATAGTCCCGGAAAATGTTTTTCTTTTAGGTTTAGGTTCTGGTACTGCAACACTGTAACAGGGCAGCACCGTTCGGCATTGAACAAGCTGCTGCGCCGTTTCCGAATAATGTCATGTTTGCGCCAATTTTACTTCAGGAAGGTCCCAGGAATGCGGGGACCTTCGGCAAGGGTCGAGGTTTGTTGCGTGAGAGATTCCAAAAGACTCTGCAACAGGAACCCCTTCCAGGAGGAGTCATTTTTCGAGAGCTTCAAGCCTCGTGAGAAGGCGCGTTGAAAGCTTCCGCCCAAGCCCAAAGGTGGTCATAGGAAGACTCGGAGGGAGACATTTTCAGGTTTATCCTGGGTTCGTAGTAAAGGTTCTAAGATTTGTTTCGGGAATGGGCTCAAGGCTGCGAGAGGAGTGCGGGTCAGGGAAGCCCGGAACGGAAGCCTGCTCCGAAAACCCACTCCGAAAACGAGGCTTTGATCAGAAATCCTGGGGCTCCAGAAAACATGGTAGTCCCGCTCACAAAAGCAGGCTTTTGGGTGATTGTTCAAAGCTTTCTAGGACATCCAGGGTCGGGTTTACGGCTTTCGGGGCAGGTTTTGCTTGGGTTTAATAGGGTTTGTTTGTCATCAAAAACCCTCTGTTTTATGAGCTCTCGGATCAGGGTGTCAGCTTCATAGCAAAGCAGGGCTGGTGTTTCGTGCTGTTCATCAGGAGCCTGTGCCTCGCAACTCCGCATCGGTCCTGACTCCCGAGTAGAAGCCCAAGAAGAACCCAAAAAGAGGAGCGACAAAATCTCACAAGGGGTCAGCACAGAACCCCAAGACTTCAGTGGACTCAGCCCCTTCAATCCTTGCCGCCAGATGAACTTGAACGGCCAACCCATGCCTACTGCCACGAGAGCTTGGTTCTACGCGGGGCGGCCCGAGTGTACCATGGTGTACCCATGTGGCTGAGGGTTTTTGGATTTCTGGTTCGTCCCATGGATGTAGAGTCAGTTTTGAAAGTCGAAGTCTTCTCCTTACCAAGCTCTCAGTTCGGCTCTAAGGCTGGAGTGTGCCCAGGAAACCTGCGATGTTAGCTGAACGGCACTTCAGGCGCTCACGAATATCCGGATTCGAGAGCTTGCAGATGTGCCGGGGCCCCTGGGATGTTGTGGAGGGGGCTCCGGCTCGGGCACAGGATAACTGTCAGCAGCCAAAGGGACCTTACGTGAGACGAACAAACAAGGAGGCAGCTGAGCAGAAAGATACGTCAAGAGGCCAAAAAGCCCATGGCATCTGAAGTTTTCAGAGGGCAGGGGGGGTGACACCTCCTCCCAAACCCTAAACCCTAAACCCTAAACCCCAAACCCCAAACTCCAAACCCTAAACCCTAAACCCCAAACCCCAAACCCTAAACCCTAAACCCTAAACCCTAAACCCTAAACCTAGACCCTAGACCCTAAACCCTAAATGTCAATCTTCTGGAGCATCTCCCAAGGTCCAGCCGCGCCCTGGGCACCGTCATTCGCAAGGGCGAAGTTTTCGAGGCGGCCCACTTCTACACAGTGCTTTGGAAGAGGTACTGTTCTGAGTACGGGCACTTGTGATAGGGAGCTTTCAGAAGTGTTTCGAGAGCATCGGCGAGCCTTCAAAGCACGTAAACCTTGCGGGACGGTCCTGGCAGATCGATGCTGTACTTGCAGTTCAAGGCCTTGGGCAAGAGTTTGTTTGTGTGCGGTCAACTGCCCAAGCTTCCTAAATCCCAAGACCTATCGTTATTCCTTGCGCCCTCGGTGCTATACCTTAAAGCTTCCCTCAAAAAAGGACTCAAACACCTCGAGTTTGTCATCGCCAGTAGTAGCATAGTGTGTTTGTCAGGCAAAGGATCCGAGAGGTATCGAGTGAAGGCAGAGAGAACCTTACCCAAGACCTCACAGTTGAGACCCGACCGCCCTCTGAACTACTCTATAAATACTCTATGCGTTGAGATAAGGACAGGAAGATCAAATGAAAAGTCTTCTGGCATTTTCTAGCTCGGGGGGATGACTTGTAGCTCTGTGCTCATGAATTTCGAGAACCGAAAGCTCCCTTGGACAGCCAGCCATTGGGAGGCCAGAAGTATCTCAAGCTAGCAAAGCAGCAGCGTCCCCGGCCGGGACTGGCTCTTTCCTGGGAGCCAGTGTGGCAAAACCCCAGTAGTTTCCAGTAGTTTCCACCTTGGCACAAAGAGGCTCCTTTAGGGCGTCAGGGGGCGTTTTGGGGCGTACTCAAGGGGTGATTTTTTGGGGTTCGCGGCCCGCAGGGCTGCCTGGATGGTTTCGGGAATGCATCGCTTGCTCCCAAAGTTTTGTGACCTGGACCTCCTAAACGGTCCTACACCCTTTGTGAATCAGAAGCTTGCAACTGCCATGAGCCATGCCAAGGCCCGGATGGGTGTTTACGCGCGGCCTGAGTGGGGAGTGGGAGGGCCGTGAGATCGCGAAGCGAAGTCCCTGACGTCCCAACCTAAAAACCCCCCAAAGAGCATGCAGCCCGAGTTGTGCCTGCATCCTGGGAATGTGCTAAGTTTCGCCTCTGTTCGCTCGTGCAGGGAATGTCCCCTGAGGCTCTTACTCTTTGCCGAGACAAGAGCCGGAGAGCCATGTTCCGCAGAGGTCACATCCCGACTTCTGCATTCGATGATGCAATGTCTGGTGATTCCTAAGAGTTGAGGGCCTACTGGCGAGCCTAGTGGCTCCAAAAGATGCTAGAAGCCTAGCACCCTCAGCCAACCTGAGTGCCAGATGCCAGACTTGACCACATGAACAGCCTTTCCTCAGCATGATTCCTTCTTCCCTCGACCTTTAACAAACCCCAAATTCCAGCATCATCGGCCAGACGGGCAGACCCCTCAAGTTTTCGGGCCTGTTGCCTCTTCCTGCAGCGGGCCCCTGCGTTCCCCTGAGTCCAAAAGTGTTGCTGCCAAATCACTGTGAGTGGGGGGAGTGAGTGTAGGCACCCGGGCAAGTATGGGGATTACTACGATACACGAAAACCCGCACCCAAAAGCCTTAAAGTCCTGAACCCTGACGACTCCTCGATGAGGGGTGTTGGCTCACGCAAAAGGAGCCCTGAGCACACTCCCTTGAGCTGTAATCCTTAAGCCTGAGGGCCCGAAGCTTCAACGTCTCCTAGGAAAGGGTTGCCCCCGACCTTGCTTCGGGCTTGATTTCAGGGTCAAGAGGATCAGGGCTTCAGGGTTTTGGGGGGCTACTGTGAGAATGGGGGGGGTTGGAGAGTCACGGAGTATGGGCGCTTTTGGAGACCCCTGCAGAGCTTCGGGAGTTTTCGGGCTCGGTTTCAGGTGTACAACAGCCCCAAAGCCCACCGTAGGTCTCAGGGATGTGCTCACGGGTGCGCAAAACAATGGGCTCAAGTTTGAAGCTAGTGAAGCCCTGGCATCCCCGGACAAAACAGAACCCAAGATTGAGTGCGAGGGGAGAAGCCGGTGAACCTGGTAATCCCGGCTACATTAAGCCACTTAGCCCACCCTCAACTTGCCTCAACATTTCCCTGAACATCCTCCTTTTCGGACTTGGCGGGTGAATGTCATTCGCCATCACCACAGCAGTGTCGGGAGCCTTGGAGGGGATCCTGTAGGCTTGGACTTCGGGGTATTTGGGGCAAGGGCTGTGTGGCTCGAGGGGTAGGGCCTGATGCCTGGGGTGTCTACAGGGGATTTCCCAATATTGCCCTCAACCCGAAAACCCGAAGCCCTTTGTTGAAGGCCTGCGGGTACAGCGTAGATCTTGTAGAATCTGTTTTCAAGGTCTGGGCATCGATCATGCTCAGCTTCTCGCGAATTGTCAGCTCTCATCCTATCAAACCAAAACCTGAAAAAGCGGGGTTGCGGTTCGGTCAGGGTTTAAAGGGAGGCTGAGGTCTACGGTCTAAAGAGCGAATCTTGACGCAAAGGAGCAAGGCCCGAATCAGAAAGTTCGAGGGCGATTGGTGATGTCCTCTTTATGTAGCTTCTGAAGCCCCCAAGTCCTTATAGGTGTCTGAAGGCTGCGATTTAGTGTGTTGCGCGTCCTTCGTTTCCCAAAAGCTTCGATTCACCTTTCGGCTGTTCTCTGCAGGCCGTAGCAAATCTTTGCCAATGTAAGAAGTGCAAGAAGCAACTCGGTCTACAATGGCGGTCCGTTTCCCAGCATCGAAAAAAGTCAGCAGAGTCCAAGCCCTGGATCCAAACTCGCTTAACACTGCCTGCCTAAAGTGCAGAGACACTTCAGAGGACAAGGCAAGCTTAGGGATGCTTAGAGCTCGATTTCTTATCGATTGCTTGTCTGCCTGCGGCCTTGCGGCGGGGAGAGATGGCTCCAGACACACGGATGACGCTTGCAGGCCAGAGTTGGGCAGCTGGGATCAGGCACCTCTAAGCCCCAAAGCCCGTGCAAACAGTGAATCAAAGTCAGTGATGCAGGGCCTGAACACCACACAGGGCAATCTTGGCGGGGACTCTGCTTGCGTTGGCGGGTTGAATCTTGAACCGGTAGGCGTGGTTCGTGGCCTAGGCTTAGGATTTAGGATTTCAGGTTGCATATATGTATATATGTATATATATATATATGCATGTATATATATATATGTATATATATATATATGTATGTATGTAGTTATTCTACGCCTCTACGCCTCTACTGCCATGGAGGCACCCCGAAGACTAAGGTGCTTCAAAGCATAAGTACAGCTTCAGGAGTCGGCCAGGGTATACATTTTCGGGCAGCCGCTTTTTCGGCCTGCCTTCGGTTATAAGCATTGCTTAGAACCACGCAAAACAACCACAATGTCAGGTTGTAACCAAACTATCAAGCTATGTCTCGGTTGTCCACCACCTCATCAAATTAGAGTCTTGAGTCTTGACTGCAGCTGGATTTACACATGAGATACATATGTAATGGGGAGCGTTCGTTCAGCCAGACTCTCGCTGACATTCGGTTCTCCCCCAGTTCAATAGTTGACACCATGTAGGAATGTACAGAAGTGGGGGTCCAAGGAATGAGTCAAACTCATGAAGCTATAACTTTACCAGGAAGTGGCTCAAATTTAATTCGACTACGACCAGGGCAAGCTCTGTATTGCATTTCATGCGTCCATTCGGTTAGTTGATTTGCAAAACAAGTAGCTTCTCACAAGACTATGCCTTTCATTCACTAAAGACATAGAGTGTAGCAGTGCTCTTAATTGACTTGTTCCTACAGTATAAACGCGCCTGTCGCTCAGCCGCTTGTTTCACATAATCCAAGTTATCTTTCTTATTGCGTTTCTCATATTGTGGACTGGTTGGTAGGATGTAAATCACAGATTCAGAGCTCCAAATTGACATGCATTATTCTTGAATAACAAAATGGCCGTCTAAACATGAGCGGTTAGATCGGGAACGCAGACGCTGGGTTTTGATATGAACTTGAGCCAAAACTTTGGGGATGGAACCACATGAGAGAAACAGAAGCGAACGACCAACAACAGGAACACAAGGTGAATCAAAAGATGCTTGGATAAATGGGGGGGGTACCATACATCTTTCCGGGCTCTCGGGCCCTAAAGCCTTTCTGTGGTACCTCCCCCGCCCTGAAGGGTACTTCTCCCAGGCGCGATCCTCGTAACTGTCGTATCTTCACCGCATTCCAAGTTGACTCGGATAGAGAACTACAGACCTTGAATCTGAAGCTCCCAAACCTTAAGCCCCACGTCAAGCCTATCCGGGCAGGAGCCATCCACGATGACTCTGGCACTTTGGATCTGTCATGCTACCGTGAGCTGAAGCGGCTGGCCAACAAGGACCAGGACATGTTCTGGTTTGTAAGCGAACTTAATTGGGATCTAGCTTTCGAGGTGCGACCCCGTTGTAGGTGTTTTGTTTAGATCTTGTTTTCCTGTTTAGAGGGCTGGGGGCTGGGTGATGGGGGTGGGGGGGGGGAGGTTGAGAGGGTTGCTGCGGGGTGGGGTTTGAGGGGAGGGGGTTTGAGGTGGTCTTTGGTTTGACCATGACAATGGGGGCAAGGTGTTCGGTGTTCTTGTTACACCAATGCAAGTATAGTAAAGTAATGTCTGTTCGGGTTAAAGTCGAATCTGTTACACGCTGGGCCAGCGGCCAGGCTCTGCATTGCACTTGAAGCGGGTTCAAGGTGCTCCACCAATCATTGAAACTTTCAGGGCGGGAACAGTTGCTGAGATATCAAGCAAGCTGTGTTGCCATTGCAACCCACATGCGCAGGTGGTCTTTCAAGGCAATTCATGGATAATCATGAGCCCTCCGTTTTCCACCAGTGCCGCAGTACCCTGGCCGTGCCCGGGACCTGCCCGGGACCCAACCCCGATCGTCCCGCCGCCCCTCCCCCCCCCCGCCCCTCCCAGAGCGCAAGAAAAACGTAACGATATCCGGGGCCTTTCAGAAAACGCTAAAATCAAGCCAAGGCGCAGCCCATCTTTCTAGAGGCCGCGCAAACTGTGATGACATGATTTTTGCATCCCTGGTGCTTCCGATATGATGCCAGTGAGGCTGCTCCAATTCCCAAACCAACCGCCAAACCCGGACCAAAAAAAGATAGACCAAAGGCATCTCACACAACGAAAAAGAAACTATAACTATACTATGTATGCCGTGCGAGAAGTCTTGCAGTCATTGTGAAGTGGACGTGGTTGCACACACTGGTTGTCCACCTCCCCCCGGTCGCAAACTCTTGTCGCTACATGGCGGGAAGCCCTTGAAGCGGACCACCGCGTCGTTCGGAGCTTCCAGGAAAATGCTGGGACATCAAAGAAACATGCCCGGGCCTGTGTTGGGTTCGGCAAGGCCTCCCAACCCGTGAATTAATACACACAAGGTACACGAAAAGACCCAAGCCGTAGCACAAAAGCCCGAAACACCTTAACGATCTTATTTCAAACCCAAGCCCCTGAACCCTAAAGTCCCTAAAGTCCCTAAAGTCTGAGCAAGAGCCACCAAGGCCCCTCTTCGCGGATTGCGGGGAGCTGCGAGAGGGCCTCGAGGGCCTGGAAGGTGACGACCAGCCCAAAGGCAGGAGGAGATGGCGTTTGTTGCAGTTTTGGCGGGATTTTTGGCGGGATTTTTTGGGGGGGTTTTGGGGAGGGATTTTTGGAGGGTTTGGGGGGGGGGGTTGAGGCCTGAGAGTTTAAAGCAGCTTCGGGGGTGTGAGGTTTGTTTGGCTCTATGTTTTCTTTTTTTTCTCGTCTTGTCGCTGAAGCAGTGCAGGGGGTGTGAGGCTCACCTCTAAGGAGGCTTGCGAGTGAGACAAGAAGTGGCATCCTTGGAGCCCATGATGGGGCTAGAGGCCCCCCTCTTTCTCGAACCTTTGTGAGCTTCTCACAGATCATCCAAGAACATTTGAAACCCGGAGCCCTGCACTCCTGCATCTAAACCCAACTTCCACTCTTCTTACCCCAAAGCCACATGGATTTCTTCGCAGAAGGCGTGAAGCAGTGGAAGGACGGCAAAGCAGCCGGGTCGCGCGGCGGGTTACGGGTAGTAGGTTGTGAAGCGAAACCCTTGAACAGCCAGAGATCCGCCCCAAGCTTTCAATGCATGCCGAAAACATCTCATGGTGGATCGTTGTCTTGCTCATGCCGGGCAGATCAATCCGTGAGCTCTTGTCGGCATGGTTTCTAGTATGGTTGAAGACCCTACCTTGAGACTGCGGAATGCTTCCTCCCTGAGCTGGATCGCTTATCATCCGCAGTGTAGCAGGACGCGGTGGCTGCCTGGCTCTTATATCTCTTAATTTGGGGGTTTTGGGGTTCGGGATTCAGTGGCCAAGCTTTGACAGGTTGCACGGGGGTGGTTCAGGGTTTTGTTTCTTGAGCAGGCCATGCCCCCAACACCCTAGACTATACCCTAAACCCTTCACGCCTCTGTTTCCATGCCAGAAGGGGAGGCTTGGAAGGGAGAAGCGCACGAACGACGCTTTACGGGGGTTTGGGTTAGGGTTTCGGTTGCCAAGCGATGAGGCATCGGAGTTGTCTTGGAGTCGAGGCAGGAAGCTTCTGCCCGCATGTTGAGTTTTCCTTGAACCTATGAGACCTGTGGGCCTATATAGTGCTTTATGGTTCCTGATGTGAGTGTCTTTATCAACCTTGCTGGCTCAGCATGTTTCTGCTTCAGGGATCGAGGAGAAGATCCCTTGCTAGTTCTTAGAGGGCTGGCGAAGGAGGTGTTTAGACGGTTTGGAGTTGGAGTTCCTTCTCAGGCTAAGGACTGGACAGGGGGTTGCTTGGGGGTTGCTCTAACAATTCCTAAGCAGTATGCCCGGGCCATACTGCCGAAGCCATTGAAACTTGGCTGAACCGTCAAAAGCCCTCAGCCCTCCGAAATGGGTTTCAGGCTTGAGGGACTTTGAGCATCTTTGAACCTTACGAGGGGCCTCTCAGAGGGGGTGCTTAAGAGGGGTGCTTAAGAGGGGTGCTTTGAGGTTCAACAAGGGAGTCTGGGGCAGCTGGCGCCTGGCCTTCACACTGGCGAAGCTGCAGCGGGATGTGCCTTAGCAAATCACAGGCTCCTAACACGGCTCTATTAGGGTTGAGAGAGGCGCTTCAGGGTTTGGAGTTTAGGACC